ACTAGGCCCCAAAGGTAGTTCTCCAGGCTGAGCCCCAAGCCAGCAAATGGAAACCTTTCCATTTCTTGTAAATGCCCAGCTCTCCCAGGAGCTGAAATCCAAGTCAATTAATTGACCCTTCCAGAAAAAGGAAACCTAACCAGGTCTGCCTACCTTTAAAAACCCTCTACCTGTACTTCTTGTCCCCAGTTCAAGAACTTTAAACAAAGCTTATGAGGTCATACACAGATTCAACAGTGAATGTTCTATTGCTAACAATTAAGTAATTTAACAGAATAAAGTCAAACACTTTTTTAAAGAAACAAAAGAAAATCCAACACTGAACAACATAAAATTCATGTCTATCTTCCGATGATAAATGTATACCCAACATGAAAATACGTAGGAAAATCTAGCCCTAAGCAAGAAGAAAATTTAGTCAACATACACAAAATGACAGAAATGATGGCATTATCAGACAAGCCTAAAGTGGCTACTATGTTAAATGTGCTCAAGAGTTTAAAAATGAAGATAAATGAAAGATATACCAAACAAAAAATCAAATGGAACTTGTAGAGAAAAAGATACAACATTTGAAATAGGAAATATCACTAGACAGATTAACAGCAGATTAGATAATATAGAAGAAAAGATCAGAGAGCTTGAAGATAGAACATAACAGTGATTTGTTTATGTAACAATTGAAATGATCCATAACCCAAAACCCAAACCAAACCCATTACTATTGAGTTGATTTTGACTCCTAGAGACCCTATGTAGGTTTCAGTGGCTGGTAGGTTGATCTTGTGGTTAGCAGCCCAATGAGTAACCCACTATACCACCAGGGTTCCTTGAAACTCTCCATGTTGTTGTTGTTGTTGGGAGCCATCGAGTCAGTACCAACTCATAGCGACCTTATGCATGGCAGAACGAAACACTGTCCGATCCTGACAACAACCTCACTATTGTTGTCATGCTTGAGTCCACTGATGCTGCCACTTTGCCAATCCATCTTGTTGGGGGTCTTCCTCTTTTTCTCTGACTGTCCACCCTACCAAACATGATATCCTTCTCCAGTGACTGGTTCCTCCTGACAATATGTCCCAAGTATGAGAGGCGAAGTTTGGCCATCCAGGCCTCCAAGGAGCACTCTGGCTGCACTTCTTGCAACACAGATCTGTTGGTTCTTTTGGCAGCTCAAGGCACTTTCAATATTTTCCTCCAAAACCGTAACTCAAATGCATCAATTCTTCTATGATCTTCCTTATTCACTGTCCAACTTTTGCATGCATATGAGGTTACTGAAAATACCATAGCTTGGGTCAGGTGCACCTTAGTCCTCAGGCTGACATCTTTGTTCTTCAACACTTTAAAAAGGTCTTGTGCAACAGATTTGCCTAATGCAATACGTCGTTTGATTTCCTGACTGCTGCTTCCATGAGTGTTGATAGTTGATCCAAGAAGAAGTCCTTGACAACTTCAATCTTTTCTCCATTGATGAATGTTGTTTATTGGTCCAGTGGTAAGGATTTTTGTTTTCTTTACATTGAGATGCAATCCATACTGAAGGCTGTGCTCTTTGATCTTCATCAGTAAATATTTTACGTCCTCTTCGCTTTCAGCAAGCAAGGTTGTATCATCTGCATATTGCCGGTTATTAATGAGTCTTCCTCTAATCCTTATACCACATTTTTCTTCATAGAACCCAGCTTCTCAGATTATTTGCTCAGCATACAGGATGAATAAGTATGGTGAAAGAATACAACCCTGTCGCACACCTTTCCTAATTTTAAACCATTCAGTGTTCCCATGTTCTGTTCGAACAACTGCCTCTTGGTCCATGTACAGATTCCTCATGAGCATAATTAAGTGTTCAGGAATACTCATACTGCACAATGTTGTCCATAGTTTGTCATGGTCCACATAATCAAAAGCCTTTTCGTAGTCAAAAAGCACAGGTAAACGTCTTTCTGATATTCCCTGATTTCAGCCAAGATCCAATGGACATCAGCAATGATATCCCTCATTCCATGGCCTCTTCTGAATCCAGCTTGAACCTCTGGAAGTTCTCTGTGAATGTATGCTTGTAGCTGTTTCCATATTACTTTTAGTAAAACTTTACTTGCATGGGATAGCAAAGATATTGTCCAATGATTTCCGCATTCTGTTGGGTCACTTCTCTTTGGAAAGGGCACAAATATGGATCTCTTCCAATCAGTCAGCCAGGTAGTTGTCTTCCAAATTTCTTGGCATAGATGAGTGAGTGCCTCCAGTGTTGGCTCACTTTCTTGAAAGATTTCAATTTTTTTCCATCAATTCCTGGAGTCTTGTTCTTTGTCAATTCCTTCAATGCACCTTGGACTCTTCCTTCAGTATCATTGGCTCTTGACCAAATGCTACCTCTTGAAATGGTTGAAAATCAACCATTTCCTTTTGATACAGTGACTGTGAATTCCTTCCATTTTCTTTTGATGCATTCTGCATCATTCAATAATTTGCCCAGAGAATCCTTCAATAATGAAAGTCGAGGCTTGAATTTTTCATCAGTTCCCCCAGCTTGAGAAATGCTGAGTGCTCTTCGTTTTTGAAAACTCCCCATAGCAGATGTAAAATTTACATCTTTTCATTTAAATGCCCATGTAACGGCAATTACAGGTAGATTCATTATGATAGATTTCCCATCCATATTTATATCTAACATTCAGAAAGTAGATATAAAGACATAGGTCTACTGAATAACTATTTGATTTACAAGCTCCAAATCACTGGGGGGGCGGGGAGGTTCAATCTCAACACAATCTAGCTACCACTAGTTGAGCCCATGAAGTATATGTGGTTCAAAGTTCAATCTCTAAGAGAGATTTTGGTGAACCATTGCCTGGGGAAGCAAGCAGCAAAATTTCAGATTAGGAATAAGGTGCGGGAACAGAGCAGCATTTTTCATTCTTTTAGTGCTGGTCACCAAATAAGTCTCTGACCTAGATAGCTATACTCTCATAGGCATTAAAACTCTACTTTCTAACATTTATATCTGATCCAGAATCACCCTTTGACAGAGAAAGGAAGAGTGTGTGTTGAGAAGATACTTGATATTGTGTTAACATTCTGGATCTTCTCTATGGGTTTTTGTTTTTTTTTCTGTTGCCTGGTGATTTCTTCTTGTTGTATTTGAACTTAATTATATGGTGTGGTGTTATAAGATCGGCATTGGACTTCAAATTACAAGGTCAGCAGTTCAAACCCACCAGCTGCTCCTCTGAAACCCTATACCAGGTCATTGTCAATTGAACCAACTGGAAGGCACTTAATAACAACAACAACAATATATGTCTTTGGAGTCCTGGTATGGCACTGTAGAATAAGCACTGGACTGCAAACCACAAGGTTGGCGGTTCAAACCCACCAGCTACTCCTTGGAAACTCTACACAGAATTGCTATGACTCAGAAATGACTCCACGGTACTTAACAACAACAACATATGTCTTTAACGTTTAAATATTTTACCCAAAATTTCTAGAAAGACTGATTGCTTTATTAACTTTCCCTTAAAACTTATTCTTTCAGAAAGACAATTAAAATGAATAAAAGCATCATGTTTTCAAAATGAATGAGCATATCCTGTTTTCACAATTAATAAATATGTCCCTGGGTAGGGGTACAACAGCCAATTACTGTAATTGCTGTTGATAAGTTGTATATTTGTAAAAAATAAGTTTTAAAAACTTGTGTGACAGAGACAGTACAACAGTAACAAACAAAAAAGAGCAGCTGCTGAGGCTGTGTAGATACAACCAAAACCCTCCTGATTTGGTTCCTTGGTTTGGAGACTAAGGATTATGACTGCCTGGGATACCCCGGTTATTGGCCTAATAATATGTTTACTGCTTCTATGTCTCCTAGTTCGTTGTGGAGTGCCTGGGGTCTCAAAAGACTGCAAGCAGCACACAAGACACAACAATTTGTCTTTATTTATCTGAAACAACTGAGGAAGGAATAGGAGGTAGATATCGACTGTGTGGCTAATTGTCTCCAGGAAGCACCTGTCCCCTTTGCAGTGAGACCAGAAGAACTGGACCGTGCCTGGCTACCATTACTGAGTGTTTTGGTCAAAGATTTCATGGAAGAATCTGGTAAAAAGGAGGGAAATGGAGAACAGAATTTCAAATAGTCATGGACTCCAGATTTCTTGGAGCCATGAAGAGTGGACGAACCCCTGAAACTATTGTCCTGAGATAATCCTTAAACTTTAAGACAAAAAAGTCCCTGAAGCCTTCTTAAAACCAAACAATGCTGCTGTTAAGTGCCGTCAAGTTGGTTCTGAGTCATAGTGACCCTGTACAGTGTTTCCAAGGTTGTGTACTTTTCAGGAGCAGAAAGCCTCATCTTTTTCTTGCAGAACAGCTGGTTGGCTGAAACCACCAATCTTGTGATTCATAGTCCAGTGCGTATCTTAGCTTAACTAGTTAAAAAAAAAAAGCCTGCCTTGAGCTCTATGCTCTTACAAGAAAAAGAGAGTAAGAATGGTTGTACAACTCAAAGAATGTAATTAATGTCAATATATTATAATATAGAAACAGTTGAATTGGTATATGCTTTGTTGTGTATAGACTCAACAACAAAATCACTGAATTTTTAAAAAAAGATATGAACATATCCTGTTTTCAAAACAAGAGTCCTACAGCCAAGACTCACTGATCTTGAGATTGTCTTGTAACTGTTTAGCAAAGTTAAGTAAATATCAACCAGTCAGAAATTTCGTTCAAAGTTCCAGATGACTTTGTACATACCCTGAAGCACTTAAAGAAGCCTCATTACTCAGAGTACTTATTTATTCGGTAAATGATGTGATGCCCAACTATAATTTGACTATGAAATCTGACAACAATCTGCTAATGGTATCCTGAGTTGTTTGTTTTTAGACACCTTTACTATGTAGGATTTCTTGGGATACATTTTATCATTCTTATATCTAGGCAATATGTAATGTTTCATTCTGATATTCTTTAAATGATAAAATTACCTTTATGCTTATTCAGAAGCTTGTAACCTTCACAGAATCTTCCTGATGAAGTCAGCATCTTGGCTGTGTCAAGATATGAGTATGTTGCAGCAAAATCAAATTCCTTTTTGCCATCCCACCAACCTTTCTGCTTAGCGTAGTTTTTCATGTTCGGGTGCTCCTGATCAATCTTGGTTGTTACAGAAAGCTGATTAGAAATATTACGAAATCCTTCTATTCTCAAAGAAGAAGAGGAAAAGAAAGAAGAAAAAATTTATTTAATATGAGTTATCTCTTTACATATGACTTGTAATTACAATTTAAGTAAAATATAGACTTCCAAATTTCATGCCATAAGCATGTATTCCATATTCAAGATGATAAATACATTTGACAAATAAACTTTTTTTTTTTGAGATAATGACAAGATTGACATGCAGTTGTAAGAAGTAACATTGAGAGATCCTGTATATCCTTTATCCAGTTCTCCCTAGTGGTAACATCTTGCAAAATTATAGTATAATATCACAACAAAGATATTGGTATCGATACAGTTAAGATACAGAAGATTTGTATCCTCTCTCATGTATACAAGATCCTGCCAGTTCTGACTCATAGCCATCCTGTATAGGTTTCAAAGGAGCAGCTGGTGGGTTTGATCCTCAACCTTGTGGTTAGCAGTCCAGTGCTTTTCCTACAGTGCCACACCAGGACTCCCATGTATATATATACATATATAAATATATCCTAATGATTCTGTTTCTACATCTAATAGATAATTCCGTATAAGTTAAAATTTTAGTTCTTAGAGATATTTAATCATAGGAAGAGAAATCAGATGGCAGGGTTAATCATAACCAATGAGGATGTTCAAAGCGTTTCACCTGGTCATTTAAAATGAAAAAAAGATAAAAACATTGTTGCAAAAGAATATGTTAGTTATTTCTCTCTTGCATGTAGGTCACTTAATGAAATAAGTACTCAATGGTATAGTCAGATCAATTTTCAATAGGAAAAACAGTCTAAATTCACTTGAACAGTAAACACACTTGCAGATTTTTTTTTTTTAATTCCAGTAAAACACAATGGCAGCGAGCTATTTTAAGAAATCCTCCAGTTCCCAGTTCCTTTTCCTTTCTCCCAAGAGTCTGCAGCATCCATGTGTCAGTATGATCCATGTGCTATTTAATGTTTTCACATGTATAGTTCATCTCCCTAGTAACGCTAGAAGATCCAGGAGACAGGTACACACGAAGCAGCCGATTATACTTCAACACAACTGTGCTCTAGTGGGGAATGCATGGACCTGAGAGTCAGGACAGAAAGATCTCAATTTCACATCTTTCATTCGCTCGCCTTAAGTAAGTCATGTAATGTCTCTGAATTTCCTCACTTGCAAAATGAAAATATATATTCACAAACACACCATTACCAGGAAATAAACATTCTAAAATAGTAAAATTGTGTTATTTTTACTTAATGCTCTTAGATTTTTATGTTTTACTGTATATACAATCAAAAGCTACTGTATCAACATGTGCTTTCTGCCACAGAGTACAGACACCAGTACACAACTCCATTCCCCTTTCTACACCTTCCTACCTTCATATGATAACACTGTGTGGAGTTCAGCCCAAAGGGAAAAGAAGAAGAAACATTAAAGCGTTATTAAAACGGGAAAACATACATGAACAACAGGCAAGATTCACTGCATGGGAAATATTTACAGGTTATGTAAAATCTGCACTCCACTAATAACGCCACTTTTTCTCTCTTTCAAAAACGTTTTCTCTAGTGTTCTTTCACTACACGCTCTTTTTTCCTTTACCCTGTTGCTCAAGCCTTCATTGCACTGGATTATAAATCTTGACAAACAATGTAATACAGTATCTTCAATTGCAAGTGTATTTCATGAAGGCAAAACAAACGAAATCACAAAATGAACCTTACCTTGTACCTTCTCTGCTGCCCAGTACTTCCCTGCAGTCTCCAAAATCCAGGCTTCCTTCCTGTCAGCTATCAGGAAGCTGTTGTGATAACTAAATTCCATACTGCCCTCTGTACAATTCCCACCTTGGCCATATTTTTCTAACAAATCAACAATGACATGGACAGCTTTCTCAGCTGTATCAGCTCTTTCAAGGCCAAGCCTTAAATTAAAAAAAAAAAAAAAAATCTCAGATTAAAACATATATTCTTAAATAATTTCATGCTCAGGAGATTTTGAGTGTACATTCTCAAAATGAACAGATAAACTGAAATCTAACTACTAAAATTCTCCTTCTGAGGTCAGGAAGGAATCATGAAAAACAAGGTTTGAGGAGTCACACTATTTCTCATTCTGTAATACCAGGGGGCTTCAAAAAATTGATGGAAAAATTCCACTGTATTTTAATTTCATTCTTACATGAACTTTTTGTAGTCTCCTAGTATTGGTAAGGAGCTCTGGTAGCGTAGTGGTTACAAATCGGGCTGCGAGCCGCAAGGTCAGCAGTTCGAAACTACCAGCGGTTCCGCGGGTGAAAAATGAGGCGGTCTGCTCCCGTAAAGATTTATAGCCTCGGAAACACTGTGTAGGGTCGCTATGAGTTGGAACCGACTCCACAGCACATAACAACAACAAGTATATTGGCAAGTGACTTTATTTCTGAGCAGTAGGTAACTCATCTGTAAAATAAGGATGGTAATATATATACCCCCAAAGGTCTTGTGTGAATTAGGTAAGTGAGCTCTGGTAGCATAGTGGTTATGAGTCAGGCTGCTAACCTCAAGGTCAGCAGTTCGAAACTACCAGTCGTTCCACAGGAGAAAGATGGGGCTTTCTGTTCCTGTAAAGATTGACAATCTCGAAAACCCATACAAGGTGGCTATGAGTTGGAACCGACTCCACTGCACAACCGCCCCCCTCCCCCCCAATGTATAATAAAGTACATTAGGTACATTAGGTACTCCAGTGAGCCATCATTCCTAATTCCTTCTCTTATGGTGGTGGTGGTAATGGTGGGCCATCAAGTTGGTTTTGACTCACATAACCATGTATAGGGTTTCTGAGGCTGTAAATCTTTATGGGAGCAGAGAGCCTCATCTTTCTCTTGAGGAGTAGCTGGTAGATTCGAACTGCTGACCACGAAGTTAGAGGCCCAACTAGTAACCTACTATACTAGACAAGTTCTATAAGGGCAAAGTAATAATAGAAAAATCACCTGACAAGGTCCATGCCCAGAAGTGCCTCTTCATCACAGACTGCTTCTCTGCCCCACACAGCTTCATTCCCAATGCAGACTCCATGCTCATTGGCCCCCATCTCTGCCCCCCACAGCCAAGCTGGGCGACTAAGGACAACAGCGTATGTCTCAGGAACTTGATCAATTTCTATATAAGTGCACTGTAAAGAAAGTTACCACAACAGTTACAAAACCAAAACCAATCAATCAGGAAACATGAGTACTATAGAAAATAAATAAATAAATGAAATGTAACTAAATTGAAAATTAATAATAAAGGCATTAACTTCAAAACATATGGGAGGGCTTCAGAAAGTTCATGGAAAATTTCCATTATCTTTTACTTCTATTTTTCCATGAACTTTTTGAAGCCCCCTTGTATTTAGAATTGAGCCTAAAGCATTCATTCATTCAAATATATCCTAGATATCTGATTATAAAGCACTATGTTAAGAGACACATTAGTTGTAAAGATGAATCAAATATAGATCTTGCTTTCAAAAACTAAGATACAACTAAAGTATAAGGGGCCAGGAAGAGAAGTACCCATTAAGTGGTATGGAAGCTCAAGAGAGAGAGAGATGGTACCTAGTTGCGAAATCTAGAAACATTTTGTAGAGAAAGATGCATGTAAGTTGAAGCTTATGAAAGCAGTTCTCAACCTTGGTGTCTATTGTTTCTGGGTTGGTGATAGCAACTCACATTATGGTCCCTTAAATACAAGGATATTGCCATAGAAACCCATGTCACATGTGAAAATCACCCATCATGCATGTCCAGAGTACGAAAAACAATGAGAACCACTGGCTTGCAGGATAAACGAGATTTAAATATGATGATATTAAGTGGAAATAGTATTCCAGGTTAACAAACGGTCTCAGAAAAAGACAAAAAGTGTGATAGAATATGCAGAAAAGATCTAACAATTAACATATTTAACAGGATATCAATAAACTCCAAAAAGTACATTAACATTACTTAGCAATAAAAGCATACTATGAAACTTTCACTTTAAATTCCATGGTAAATGTGTTTTTTCCCTGAAATTCTTTTAAGCTTGATCTATATACTACCAAATAACTGCATAAAATACATACTGACAGTGTTCTCACTGGGTCTCATAAACCTTTTGTGATATGCCATAAAACTGCTTTGCCTAGCATCTGGCAAGATTTCCTATTCTACCAAATCAGAATGCTTTATGCGCATCAAACTCCAACTGAAACACCATCTCCTAGTGAAACCTTCCTTGATTCAGACTCTCAATTAATTAATTACTCTTTCTCTTCTGCTTTCACAGCAAACGGCGCTTAAATTTAGCACTTTTACAGTATTCCACTTAGTAATCAGTGGTGTTAGTTGCAAACATTGCTATTCTTCTACCAGACCTTAAGTTCCTGGAAGACTATGGTTCAGAACTGGTTCATTCCATTTGACCCTCTGCTGAAGTTTTGCTTTTCCACCCCAGATTTACCGAATTGGCACCTATATTTTAACAAGATCCCCTCTTGTAAAACAGAAAAATCACCTGGAACAGAATGAATTTATTGGAAGCCTTGTGGAAAATAGGTTAGTCTTGGCAAAGGACTTTAAATCTTTTGTCCTGTCTAACATGATTGCATATGGAAATCATTCAAATATTTGATCCAATAACTAACATTATTGTAGTTTTCATTTCAGCTTTCTCCAAACCACAGAAATAAAACACCGGAAACCTGGTTTTTATTTAAATGATTTTTCTACTTTAAATTATTGACTTTTTAACTTCCATAGGCTCTACCTGTGAAGGTAGTGTGGATTCAGAGGACAGGAGGCCTGGGTTTGATTCTGGGCCAATGCACCTGATGTACCTGTTTGCATATTGCTACACTGCTCAACAGGTTTCAGCAGAGTTTCTAGACTAAGATGGACGAGGCCTGGTAATCTCCTCCTGAAAATCGGCTGATGGAAATCCTGTAGATTACATCAGTCCAGTCTGCAGTGGATCATGGGATAGTGCTGGACCAGGCAGTATTTGATTGTGTTTTGCCTGGAGTCACCATGAGTGAGGGGCCAACACAATGGCAGCTAATACATCTCTGCCAAATAGGTACTAGTGATAGAAATAACTGTTTAAAGGAACACACTGCTAACAAAACATGTATTTCACTTACCTTAAGATGTTCGCTCAGGTTATCATGAACTGCAGCAGGAAAATAAACCACCTCTTGTACTTCATCACAGAGTCTATCTGAATTTTTTCCAAAAATTATCCTGTTATCAACTGTTGCTGGAGGTAGTGCTACAAAGGTGTCGCAGGAACAAGGTTCCATGTTGTTATTGTTGTTGTTTTTTAAAAAAACTTAAGTCGTATAGAAGTTTCAAAATAAAAGAGAAAGATTTTAAGCATATATACAAACTTATAAGAAATATTACTACTGTATCTAAAAAAGGGTGTTTGTCAAAGTTTTAACCTTTTTTATATGAGGGGCTTCAAAAAGTGGAGAAATTCTATTATCTTTTAATTCCCTTTTTCCATGAACTTTCTGAAGTCCCCTCATATTGTAGTACAAACATCAGTAAGGAAACAGCTTGAGAACCAATCTTGCACTACAAGACTCAATAAGAAAATGGTAATGAGATGCACCTTCCTCTCCTACTCTATAGGTCAGATTTATCCTCTAATATCTTTTTCTCCAGGACTCTGGCCTGACCATCCTTTCATTATTTCCAAATTTGGGACCCCCTTTGCCCAGAAGCACAGCAGAAAAAGTTCTAGAGATCTGCTACCAAATAGATTTGTTTAAAGTCCATTTCCATCAAATCAGGTTCAACTCAGTGACCCTAAATGACAAAATAAAAAAGTCCCATAAGGTTTCCAAGGCCACAATCTTTATGAGGAATCTTGGTGTTGTGCTATGGGTTAATGTGCTGGACTTCAAAGTTGGTTTGAACCAAAGAGTTGGTGGTTCGACCTCAACAGTCTCTCCTCAGAAACCCTATTTAGGGTCACTATGAGTCAACCTCATATGGATGCGAAAGCTGGACAGTGAATAAGGAAGATTGTAGAAGAATTGATGCCTTTGAATTATGATGTTGGAGGAGAATACTAAAAGTGTCATGGGCTGCCAAAAGAACCAATAGATCTGTTTTCGAAGAATGCAGACAGAGTGCTCCTTAGAGGCCAAGATGGCCAAACTTCTCATACTTTGGACATATTGTCAGGAGGGAACAGTTGCTGGAGAAGGATATCATGCTTGGTAAAATGGAGGGTCAGAGAAAAAAAGGAAGACCCCCAACGAGATGGATTGGCCAGGTGGCAGCATTGACGGACTCAAGTGTGGCAACGGTAGTGAGGTTGGCCCAGGATCGGACATTGTTTCGTTTTGCTGTGCATAGGGTCACTATGAGTCAGTTCCGACTCGATGGCACCTAACAACAACAACAACATGGATCAGAACAGACTCAATGGCACTTAACAACAACAATAATAATCTTTAAGGAGTGGCTGGTGGGTTCAAACACTGACCTCTGTTAGTAGCTGAGTGCCTAACCACTGCACTACCAGAGCTTCCCATAAAGATTATAGTCAAGAAAATCCTAGAGAGCAATTCTATTCTGTAACACAAGGGCTCACCATGAGTAGGAACTGACTCAACAGCAGTGGGTTTGGGTTTGGGTTTGGTACCTAACTCTACTATTATGAAGACCTTACTCTACTGAATATGTCTACATAGGGCAGTAAGTAACAACAAAAAATACTACCAAGGTCCAGTTCATACATGCATGGACTGAAATAAAATGTGTAAACATGTCTCTGCAACCAGTGAATGGCTGCAGACAAGTTCTCAAAGTAATACACTTCTGCTTCCTTATAGATTTACAGCCTCAGAAGCCCTATACAGGGTCACTAGAGTGGGAACTGACTTTATTTTGGGGCCTCTCTTTCCTGGGGTTCATTGAGCTTCTTGAATGCTTATCTTTTCACTTTTCAGGATGTTAGGGAAATTTTCTTCAGAAGTTCTTCAACTATCTCCTCTGTGGACTTGTGTGATTGTTCCTGTTCTGGAATGCCAATAATTCTTGTTATTCCTCTTCATGTTGTCCAACATGCATCTTAGGCCTTCTTCAGATATTTTTATCTGTTTTTGTGCTTGGTCTTCTACTTCAGTAATGTTGAGAGATTTATCTTATAGCTCACTAGTTCTGGATTCTATCTCTTCAATTCTACTCCTTTGCCCTTTCAGTGTATTTCTATTTCTGATATTCTATTAGTAATCATTTGGACCTCTTTCTGTAGGTTTTGAATTGTTTCCAATGCTGTATCTATCTTGTTTGATTGTTCCTGTAGTGCTTTCCTGACTTCTTCCTTATTTTTCTCAACTCTATTGTATAACGTTTTGATACATTTTATAATCATTTTTCTGAATTCCTTCTCAAGTATTTCCAAAGCCTGTCTATCTTTCAGTATGGAGTGTAGGTTTACTTCCAGCTCATTTGCCTCAGTCACTTCATCTCATTTCTGGACATGTGCTGATATGGTCATCTGTTTCTGTTTTTTGGGGATATTCAGGAGTTATCTGTGGCCTTAATACTTAGATGAGTGTGTCCTTTGGTATTTTTTATGCTTTCTGATTGCCTCCAGGTAGATGTGATCAGAAGATGGGCTTCCCTTTTCCCTCTTCTTCCTGAGAAATTTCAAGATGCCACTGTTGGTCGTTGTGATGTAACTCAGGATTTAATTTTTGGCTTATTTCTTTTTAGTCTGCCTGTCCAGCTCCACAATCCCTGTTCAGGCCTTTTTCCTAGTGATAAACAGTTCAGGGCCAGCTGTGGCTGTTTTGCACTGCCGTTTGGTTTTAAGTGGAAACGGTCACTTTAAATTTGGAAGTGATCTGTGCACATGTGTAGTAGAACCCTCTAGGGGTGGGGGTGGGGTAGCCAACTGCTCAGGCACCTCCACTAGTCACCAGAATGGAGGTGCACAGACAGCAAGAGACCAATGAACAGATACAAAAAAAAGGATGCCCATACCTTAATATGCACGGTTCTGTCAGGCATCTGTGGCTACTCTGATACTTGCCCTGCTTGGTCTCTCCCAGTATGGCAGCTCTGGGAGCAGCTGAGCATCTTGAATTAGAAAGCAATGGATTTCTTGCTTCTGCTACAAATTCCCCTAGCTGTAAGCCTTCCAACCTTCTAAATATTCCTTTATATGTGGTTCAGAGTTCTGGCACCATCCCCTGAGCCTGTTTGGTTCGGTATTTTGTGTTGTTGCTGACAGAGCTCCTCACTGCACTTCTACCTGATCTGCCATCTTGCTTGTTCTATGAAGTCAATC